GGTTTTTGCTTTAAATACTTTTTAATTAATTTTAGAGAAAGAGGGAGAAAGAGAGAGAGACAATCAATTGGCTGCCTCCTGCACGTCCTCTACCAGGAACCAAGCCCTGACTGGGAATTGAACCTGCAACCTTCTGGTGCATGGAACTATACTCAACCAACTGAGCCACACCTGCCGGACCTGTTTTTTAATTTTTTTATTATTTATTTATTTAATTTTTTTTTAATTTTATTTTTTTGATCTTTATTGTTGAATGTATTACAGATGTTCCTCATTTTTTCCCCCATTGACCCCCCTCCTCCCCACTCCCGCCCCGCTCCTGCCTTTTCCCACACTGTTGTCTGTGTCCATTGGTTACATATAAGTTTTTTGGTTTATTTCTTCCCACCCCCAGCCCCCTTCCCTTTGAGGTTTGTCAGTCTAGCAACCAATTTGTACTTCTTAATCTCTTCACCTTTTTCACCCATTCTCCCAACCCTCCTCCCATCTGGCAACCAACAAAATGTTCTCTGTATCTATGAGAATGTTTCTGTCTGCCTGTTTGTTTTGTTTGTAGATTCCATTGCCAATAGATATGTATTCATTGCCATTTTGTTTGTTCATATATTTAATCTTTTTCTTCAAAAAGACCCTTTAACATTTCATATAATAACGGTTTGGTGGTGATGAACTCCTTTAACTTTTCTTGTCTGGGAAAGTCTTTTTTTTTTTAATTTTATCCTCACCCGAGGACATTTTTCCATTTTTTGTTCAGGTAAAGTGTGAGGGGCCGGGGACAAACTGCAACCGAGGTACGTGCCCTTAGTGGGAAATGAACCCGGGTCTCTCTGGACCGCAGGCCGATGCAATAACCACTGAGCCAAACTGGCCAGGGCTGGGAAAGTCTTTATATGGCCATCGATTCTAAATGACAACTTTGCAGGATAGAGTAATCTCGATTGTAGGTTCTTGCTTTTCATCACTTTGAATATTTCTTGCTACTCCCTTCTGGCCTGCAAAGTTTCTTTTGAGAAATCAGCTGACAGTCTTATGGGAACTCCCTTGTAGGTAATTATCTGCTTTTCTCTTGCTGCTTTTAAGATTCTCTCTTTGCCTTGAACCTTTTGCATTTTGATGATGATGTGTCTTGGTGTGGGTCTCTTGGGGTTCATCTTGTTTGGGACTCTCTGTGTGCTTCCTGGACTTGTATATCTGCTTCCTTCACCAAATTAGGGAAGTTTTCTGCCATTATTGTTTCAAATAGGTTTTCGATTTCTTGTTCTCTCTCTTTTCCTTCTGGCACCCCCAAGATGTGAATGTTGGCACGCTTGAGGTTGTCCTCGAGGCTCCTTACACTCTCCTCATTTTCTTGGATTCTTTTTTCTTTTTGCTGTTCTGATTGGGTGTTTTTCGCTTCCTCAGATTTCAAATCGATGGTTTGCTTTTTGGCTTCACCTACTCTATTATTGAATCTGTGTAAATTATTCTTTATTTCAGTTAATGCCTCCTTCATTTCTGACTGATCCTTTTCTATGCTCTTGAGGCCCTCAGTAAGTTCACTGAGGTTCTCACTAAGTTCATTGAGCATCCTTATAAACAGTATTTTGAACTCAGCATCTGTTAGGTTGCTTATCTCCATTTTGCTTAGTTCTTTTCCTGGGGTTTTGTACTGTTCTTTCATTTGGGACCTGTTTCTTTGTCTCCTCATTTTGGCTGCCTCCCTGTGTTTGTTTCTGTGTATTACTTAACGAGTGGTATGGGGCTAGCTGAGACCAGATGCTGCTTGTTTGAAATAATTTAGGAAAACCTGAAGCAGGATCCAAGACAGGCCAATCCTATGGTTAAGCAACTGGTAGCAGCTTGGGTGGGCCTGAAAGTTGGGTGGGGCGGGGCCTCAGGGAATCACCAGGGCGGGGCAACCAGTGTGAACCAGGTTGCTGGAGTCCCAGATATGGTGACTATCTGCTGCCCCAGAGAAGGGCTCACCAAAAGAACAAAGGTCTCTGACAGCATGTTTGTCCTGGAGAAAGCCCCCTCTCCAGCCCTTGCTCCAAAGCCAAACAGCTCAGTTCTTCCCTGTATGTCTCTGGCGCCCGTCAAGTTGCCTCCCCCTCCAGGCTTAGAGGGAGTGAGTCTGATAAGTCCGTGCGCGGGCCCTTTAAGAGGAGCTGCCTGGGGCTCCAGCTGCCTCAGCCTCCCTGAGCCTCAGTTCCCGCTGGTTTTTCCAGCCAGAAGTTATGGGGACTTCTCTTTCTGGCACTAGAACCCCGAGCAGGGCACCTGGTGTGGGACGGGGACCCCTCAGTCCTCAGGGAGGACCTTCCCAGCCGAGGTGTCCTCCTGATTTTTATCCACCACACGTGGGTGTGGGACCAGCCCATCCACCTCCACCCCTCCTGCCAGTCTCAATGTGGCTCCTTCTTTAATTCCGTAGTTGTACGACTTCCATTCAACTTGATTACAGGTGGTTTTGAATGATGGTTGTTCAGTAGTTTAGTTGTAACTTTGATGTGGTTGTGGGAGGACGCGATACCACATTTACCTACGCCGCCATCTTGACCGGAAGTGGCCAGGGCCTGTTTTTTTAATAGCCATTCTACTGGATGTTATTCGGTGGTATCTCGTTGTTTTGACTCATATTTCCCGTCTGATTAGTAATATTGAGCATCTTTATATCTGCTTATTGGCCATTTGTATATTTTCTTTGGAGAAATGTCTATTCAAGGCCTTTGCTCATTTTTAAACCAGGTTATTTGTTTTTTGTTGTTGAGTTGTAGTTCTTTTTTTAAAAAAATTCTTACCTGAGGACATGTTTTTATTGATTTTTAGAGAGAGAAACATTGATGTGTTAGAGAAACATTGCCTTCATACACACCCCAACCAGGGATTGAACCGAGCCAGGGCGAATTGTAGAAGTTCTTTTTATATTCTGGATGTTAACCTCTTATCAGATATATGATTTGCAAATTTTTATTTTTGCAAAAAAAATTTTTTCTTTATTTTAGAGAGAGAGGAAGGAAGAGAGAGAGAGACAGAGACATCGATGAGAGAGAACATCGATTGACCACCTTCTGCATGCCCCTCACTAGGGATTTAGCCCAGAATCTGGGCATGTGCCTGACTGGAAATCGAACCAGTGACCTCTTGATGCATGGGTCGATGCTGAACCACTGAGCTACACCAGCCGGGTGATTTGCAAATATTTTTATTATAATTTTTATTAACCTATTTTCAAAAAGAATTGAGATTGTATTAGTCTTTTCTGCACGGCACTAATTTGCAGTCTATTATAAGATGAGTCAACAGGTTCAATATATTTACATCTGTTTTAGTCAGCTCAGGCTGCCATAACAAAATAGTATAAACTGGGTGGCCCAAATAAAAATATAGTTCTGGAGGCTGGAAAGTCCAAAATCGCAGTGCCTGCATGGTCAGGTTCTGTGAGAGTTCTCTTCCTCACCTATAGACAGGACCTTGCTTGCTATGTCCTCACATGGTGGAAAGAGAGAGTGACCATGATCTCTGGAGTGTCTTCTCTGAAGAAGAGTAATCCTATCATGAGGGCCCTGCCTTCTGGATCTCATCAAATCCCAATTACCTCCCAAAGGCCCCATCTCCAAATACCATTACACTGGGATACAAAATTTAGTTCATAGCACTATCTAGAAGAACCCACAATGGACGTAAAAAATAAAACCAAATCATACAAGTTAAAACAAATATGGCCAGGCTGGTGTGGCTCAGTGGTTGAGTGTTGACCCATGCACCAAGAGGTCACTGGATTGATTCCTGGTCAGGGCACATGCCCAGGTTGTGGGCCAAATCCCCAGTGTGGGGCATGCAGGAGGTAGCCAATTGATGTTCTCTCTCATCGATGCTTCTCTCTCTCCCTCTCCCTTCCTCTCTCTCTAAAATCAATAAAGAAAAAACAAATAGAAAAACCCCAAATATGATATACCATTACACATCTATTAGAATGGTCAAAATCTGGAACGCTGAAAACACCAAGTGCTGACGAGGATGTGGAAAAACAGGACTGTTCATATATGGTAGGAATGCAAGACGGTACAGCCACTTTGGAAGACAGTTTGGTGGTTTCTTACAAAACTGTACATACTCTTACTATATGACCCAGCACTTGTGCTCCTTAGTATTCACTCAAGGAGTTAAAAACTTAGGTCCACGCAAAACCTGCACATGGACATTTATAGCAGCTTTATTCATAATTGCCAAAACTTGGAAGCACCCAAAATGTGCTCCTGTAGGTGAATGAATAAATAAACTGTAGTACATCTAGAAAATAAACTAGTATTCTGTGCTAAAAAATAAACAAGCTATCAAGCAAGCTACAAAATGATATGGAGGAACCGTAAATGCATATAACTAAGTGAAAGAAGACAGTCTGAAAGGCTACATACGATATGATTCCAGCTACATGACATTATGGAAAAGACAAAACTATTGACACAATAAAAATATTGGGGTTGAGGGTGGTAGGAGAGATGAATAGGCAGAGCACAGAGGATTTTTAGGGCAGCGAAACTATTCTGTGTGATACTATAATGATGGATACATGTCATTATACATTTTCCCACACCCATAGATTGCACATCAAATGAACCCTAAGGTAAATTATGGACTTTGGGTGATTATAATGTGTTAATGTAGGTTCATCTTTGGTGAAAAATGTACCATTCTGGTGAGTGATGTTGGTAATAGAAAAGACATGCATGTGCGAGAATAGGGGCATATGTCTGTACTTTCCTCTCAATTTTGTTGTAAACCTGAAACTGCTCTAAAAAAAATAAAGTCCTTTTATTTATTTTTGTTAATCCTCACCCAAAGATATTTTTCCATTGATTTTTAGATAGAGTGGAAGGGAGTGAGGGAGAGAGAGAGAGAGAAACATTGATGTAAGAGAGACACATCGATTAGTTGCCTTCTGCACACTTCGCCCTTGACCAGGAATAGAATCTGTGGTGCTCTAACCACTTAGCACTCGACCAGGGCTATTTTTTTTTTTTAAGGTGGAACACTTCACGAATTTGCATGTTGTCCTTGTTCAGGGGCCATGCTAATCTCTGCATTGTTCCAATTTTAGTATATGTGCTGCCCACACAAGCACTAAATAATAGTTTCTAAAAAAAGAAACAAAGACTATAAAAAATTGAAATAATAAAATCTTAAAACGTAGCTATGAATGTTACTTGGGATCATCACTCTCAAAACTAAGGCCATTTCCTGGCCAGTTTGTCTCAGTGGTTAGAGCGTCGGCCCGCAGACCAGAGAGACCCGGGTTCAGTTCCCGCTAAGGGCACATACCTTGGTTGCAGTTTGTTCCCAGCCCCGGTTGGGGTTGTGTGAGTGGCAACCACTCAATGTGTCTCTCCCACATCGATGTTTCTCTCTCTCTCTTCCTCCCTCTCTATCTGAAGATAGATTCAAAAATGTCCTCAGGTAAGGATAAAAAACAAACAAACAAACAAATAAAAAAAACACAAAAATACTAAGGCCATTTCCAGAGAAATGTGCTGGCTGAGTTTTTACATTTGTGGAATAAAGAGAGTGAGACAGAATGATCTCCAATGTACCTTTTAACTCAAAATGTAGTGATAAAAAATGTAAACAAACAGTACAGTCTAGTTTTAATAAGTATATTGAAGTATTCAAAGGGAAAAGTCCACATTTCTCTTTGAAATACATAAAAAAAAAAAAAGAGTGATGGCTGGAGAGAGGGATAGATAAGGGATGCTGATGTGGCAATTTCAGTGAAATTTAATAATGGGATCTGGGTAGTAAGCAAAATATTGGGATCTTCACTTAAAAGTTTTTCGATTTGGCTGTGTGTTTGAAATTTTACATTGAAAAATGTTGGAGGGAAAATGAGTGATTTGACATCCAGTCTTCATTATTAATGTAGAAAAAAATGAACAACACCACGAAGTAACCTGTTCCACAGGTTAAAAGCTGTTGGATTTAAGTAAATGAGTTTGTCCAAGATCACTGATAACTGACAGAGCTGGAATTTGAATTCTGGGCTGAATGGACTCCCACATAGCTCTTAGCCAGTATGTTCTCTGTTCTGCCTGCTGCTTTGATCTTATTGACTTCATCATAAAGTTGATAGGAAGATCACATTTATGCATATACAATACATTAGTTGGGCCTCTGAGCAGATGCTTCATGGAGTAAATGTTCCCTGCCCACATGTGCCTGGGTCCAGAGGCCTGCTCCCAGTTTAGTTGTGTACAATGGCTTGGCTGTGATCTTGCACAAGCCAATTATCATTCTGCACCTCAGTCTTTTTATATGTAAATGAAGGCAACAAAACTTATCCATGTGGAGAAAGAAGAGGACTTTTTGTGCTGTCCTTCCTCACACTTCGCGTGGCCTCTTCTCCGTCCAGCCGGAGGAGACCAACCACAGGCCTGGAGAACCGTGAGGAGAGTGATAGCAATTATGCAAAGATCATTCATTTTGTTGATTGGTTTTACTCTGAAAGTACACTTTGTTTTAGAGAGAGAGAGAAAGGAAGAGAGGGGAGGAGGGGGGAGAGAGAGAGAGAGAGAGAGAGAGAGAGAGAGAGAGAGAGAGAGAGGGGAAGAGAGAGAGAAAGAGAAACATTGATGTGAAAGTGTAACATTGATGAGCTGCCTCCTGCGGCCCTCTACTAGGGATCGAGCCTGCAACAGGGGCATGTGCCCTGACCCCGAATCCAACAGGGATGACACCCAACCAACGGAGCCACACTGGCCAGGGCTGAAAGTACACTTTTGAGAATTAAAGGTGGAGAAGGAACAGCAAGGCATAGGGTTTATGCCATAACAACAGAGTGAAGAGAGGAATCCCCGGACTGATCAGCAGGGAGGGGAGGAAAGAGGTGGTGATGAGGTGACAGTCACCAGGGCTGCAGTGGGGAGGGAAAGGGAGATGGGGCTTTGTGGCCTTGGAGATGGTAGAGGCTGGTGATGAGAAATGCTGATATGGAAGTAGAAGGGAAGGGTAGATGGAAGCCTTCAAGTCAAGCCCGTGCTAGGCACCATGCATGCCTGACCAGTTGGCTCCATTTTAGAATCACCCTCTTGTACTATTGAGGTGTCAGGACAGCTGTTCCTCCAGCTGCTGGCACTGCCCATGGCTTACTTTGCAGATAAAGCCTCAAACAAACTACGCTCTGTGTGAACACCCCCCACTCCCACACCCCCAAGCAGGACGGGTTCGCTGGTGATATAGAAGCAAATTCCTCAGCTCCTGAATTAGGGTAAGACTGATCAGTGGTAAAACCTACACTTGTGATGTACCTTATTGGGGGAATCAAATAAGACCAATCCATAAAGAAATGCCTTATCATTTCTAAAGTATTGGCAAATATGACTTAGCACAGGCATATCCTGGATTCTAAAACATTCACCCAAATTCAACTTTAGGCAAATTGTTCCATAGAGCACTTAGTAACATTTCAGATATATGGAAAAGTTTGCTTCCTGGCTTGTGCTATTTCTATTACCTGGCGAATTCCCAGTGTATCAGCTCTGAGTTATTGAGGTGTGTCTACCTTTTGGAGTAACCTCAAATTCCAAGTCTTCCTGTGCTCAGTTATTCTTTCTTTTAAAATCTTTCTAAATGTGCTCTAGCCCCTATCTCATCTGACGAGAGGAGTTTAGTATCCCCCACCCCCATGCCACCAATATTTTTGAGAATTTCAGAGGAGAGCTAAGGGCTTATGTTCTCATTACCATCTCATACTCTGAATTACTGATTTTACCTCACTGACAGCTCAGCTCCTATGGTTAATGTCTCCATCCTGAGTCATCCCATGCACTTTTGATTTAACTCTATATCTAAACTACCAGGAGAACACTAGCAACTGCAACAACATTTTATAGAAGAAATGAGAATAATGGAGAATTATTTAAAAATGTGCAAGAAATAACTTCAAATGTCATTAACTACTATTTGTTGAGTGCCTTCTACATGGCAGACATTGTTCTAGTTCTGAAAATATAGAAGTGAATAAACCAGACAAAAAAAATAAATCCTTACTCTCCACGGGTTTAAGTTCTATTTGGGAAAAGGAAAGAAGACATATTTACGTATGCATTTTGTTGATTGTCTATTGTGGGTTAGATAATGATAAGAGGGGTGCAGGAAGCAATGAGGGCAGAGCGAGGGAATGTCTGTGTGTCGGTGATGCAATTGTAAATAGGATGTTTAGTGAAGGACTCATTCAGAGGAGACTTTCGACTGAAGACCTGAGAGAACTGAGGAGGGAAGATCTGTGGGGAGAATACTCCACAGTAGACAAGTACACTTCCGTTATTGCAGAAAGTTCTCTTAGTGGTGGGTGCAGAATATAAAGTGTAGAGTATTATTATGAACTCATGAATTTCATATATTTGATTTGCAGTTATTTTCTTTTTGATGCTCTAATTATTTCATTTTTGGTGAGTGAGAGCTTCTTCAAGTAGGCACTAGTTTCTTTTGAAATGACATAGTCATCTGTAGTATATCTTGCTGTCTGGGTAAGATGACCTGGGCTTATTTGATCCATTATTGCCCCAGCCTTGAAAATCTGCTCTTTTTTTAAGAACTCTTAGTTTCTTTCAGTGAGATATTCAGAGCCTACACATTACATTTTGGAGGATTCATTGCTCTGGCTAATAAGTTTTAAAAGTTTTATTGAAAACTTCATAACTAAAAAAAAAATATTACCCTAGATCAATATTTCTATATTAGGGATTTACATGTTTAGTTTTTGTTTTGTTTTTTTTTAATTTTCACCCGAGGACATTTTTCCATTTTTTACTCAGATAGAGTGGGAAGGAGAGAGAGGAAGAGAGAGAAACATTGATGTGAAAGGGACACATCGAGTGGCCGCCACCCACACGACCCAACCAGGGCCGGGGACAAACTGCAGCCAAGGTACATGCCCTTAGCGGGAACCGAACCCGGGTCTCTCCGGACCACAGGCCGATGCTCTAACTGCTGAGCCAAACCGGCCAGGGCTAGTTTTAATGAAAACAGATTTTAGTTTCAAGAAGAGGGTAGTGAGACCCCAGAATAAGAAACACACACACACACACACACACACACACACTGTATGGGGTATATACCCCACCTTATTCTGGAAAGGATGCAAAGCCACTATACCCACTTTAAAAAAATATAAAATGCTCTTTTTAAATTGCTTATTGCTATGCACTGTACTACTAATAAAGCTACTATAGAACATGAACTGTTTGTATTCCCCCTATTCAATCCATATGTCGAAGCCCCAGTCCTTGATGTGATGGCATTTGGAGGTAGAGCCTCTGGAAAGTAATTAGCTTTAGATGAAGTCATAAGGATGTAGCCCTCATGATGGGATTAATGTTCTTACAAGAAGAGGAAGGGACACATCGATGTTTCTCTCTCTCTCTCTTCCTCTCTCTCCCTCCCACTCTATCTGAACAAAAAATGGAAAAATGTCCTCGGGTGAGGATAAAAAGAAAAAAAAAAAGAAGAAGAGGAAGGGACAGAGCTGTCTCTCTAGGCCATGTGAGCATATAGTGAGAAGATGGCCAACTACAAACCAGGAAGAGGTCCTCACCAAACTGGATCTGCCCACACCTTGATTGTGGACTTCCCAGCCTCCAGAACTGTGAGAACTAAATGTTCAAGGCACTCAGTCTGGTATTTTGTTATAGCAGCCCAAATGGACTATAAGAGAGTGAGTGATTTGCTCATGGGTGTGCAGCTAAAACATATCTCTTTTTTTTTTTTTTTTTTTTATCCTCACCCGAGGATATTTTTCCATTTTTTGTACAGATAGAGTGGGAGGGAGAGAGAGGAAGGGAGAGAGAGAGAAACATCGACGTGAAGGGACAACATCGAGTGGCTGCCACCCGCACGACCAACCAGGGCCGGGGACAAACTGCAACCGAAGTACGTGCCCTTAGCGGGAACCGAACCCGGGTCTCTCCGGACCGCAGGCCGACGCTCTAACCGCTGAGCCAAACTGGCCAGGGCACTAAAACATATCTCTACAGAGGGGGCTTCAACCTCCGCTGTACTCGAACATTCTAATATTCATCTGCTGTGCAGATTTCCTAAAACTTCCCAGATTGAAGACCATTGCTGAACAGC